TGACAACAGTGACAACGGTGACAACAGTGACAACTGTGACAACAGTAACAACGTTGACAACAGTCACAACGATGACAACAGTGACAACGGTAACAATGGTGACATCAATGACAACGGTAACAACAGTGACAACGGTGACAAAAGTAACAACGGTGACAACAGTGAAAACAGTGACAACTGTGGCAACAGTGACAACGGTGACAAAAGTGAACAGTAACAACAGTGACAACGTTGACAACGGTGACAACTGTGACAACCGTGACAACTGTGTGAACCGTGACAACGGTGACAGTGGTGACAATGGTGACAATGGTGACAACAGTGACAACGGCGACAACAGTGACAACCGTGACAACAGTGACAGCCGTGACAACTGTGACAACAGTGTGAACAGTGACAACGGTGACAAAGTGACAACAGTGACAACGGTGACAACAGTGACAACGGTGACAACAGTGACTACTGTGACAACATTAACAACGGTGACAACTGTCTCAAAGGTGACAACAGTGACAATGGGGGCAACAGTTAATTGTTATAACAGTGACAACGGTGACAACAGTCACAACGGTGACAACAGTGACAACGGTGACAACCGTGTAAACAGTGATAGGGTGAAAATGGTTAAAACAGTGACAACTGTGACAACAGTGACAATGGTGACAACAGTAATAACGGTGACAACTGTGACAACGGTGACAAGAGTGACAACAGTGTCAACAGTGACAAATGTGCCAACAGTGACAACGTTGACAGCAGTGACAATTGTGACAAAAGTTACAACGGTGACTACAGTAAGAACTGTGACAACAGTGAACACAGATTCAACTGTGACAACAGTGACAACGGTGACAACAGTTACAGTTGAGACAACAGTGACAACAGTGACAACGGTGACAACACTGACAACGGTGACAACAGTGACAACGGTGACAACAGTGACAACTGTGACAACAGTAACAACGTTGAGAACAGTCACAATGATGACAACATCGACAACTGTGACAACAGTGACAACGGTAACAATGGTGACATCGATGACAACGGTAACAACAGTGACAACTGTGACAAAAGTAACAACGGTGAGAACAGTGACAACGGTGAGAACAGTGACAACTGTGACAACAGTGACAACGGTGACTAAAGTCACAACAGTGACAACAGTGACAACTGTGAGAACCGTGACAACGGTGACAACAGTGACAACGGGGAGAACAGTGACAATGGTGACAACAGTGACAACAGTGACAACCGTGACAACAGTGACAACCGTGACAACTGTGACAACAGTGAACGGTGACAACAGTGAGAACAGTGACAACAGTGAGAAAGTGACAACAGTGACAACTGTGACAACAGTGACAACAGTGACTGCGGTGAGAACATTAACAACGGTGACAACTGTCTCAACGGTGACAACAGTGACAACGGTGGCAACAGTCAATTGTGACAACAGTGACAACGGTGACAACAGTCTCAACGGTGACAAGGGTGACAACAGTGATAACAGTGAGAACAGTGTCAACTGTGACAACGGTGACAACAGAGAAAACGGTAAAAACAGTGACAACTTTGACAACGGTGACAACAGTGACAACTGTGACAACAGTTACAACGGTGACAACAGTGACAATGGTGACAACCGTGACAACGGTGACAACAGTGACAACATTGACAACTGTGACAACAGTGACAACAGTCACAACTTTGACAACAGTGATTACAGTGAGAACAGTGACAACAGTGTCAACCTTGACAACAGTGACAACGGTGACAACAGTAACAATTGTGAAAACAGTGACAACGGTAAAAACAGTAACAATGGTGAGAACTGTGACAACAGTGATAACAGTAACAACGGTGACAACAGTGACAACAGTGCCAACTGTGACAACAGTGACAATGGTGACAACAGTTGTCACTGTTGTCACTTTGTCACCGTTGTCACTGTTCTCACTGTTGTCATCGTTGACTGTTGTCACAGTTGTCACGGCTGTGACTGTTGTCACGGTTGTCACTGTTGTCGCCGTTGTCACTGTTGTCACCATTGTCACCGTTGTCACCGTTGTCACGGTTCTCACAGTTGTCACTGTTGTCGCTGTTCACTTTTGTCACTGTTGTCACAGTTGTCACTGTTTTCACTGTTTGTTACTGTTGTTACATTTGTCACCGTTGTCACTGTTGTTACCGTTCTCATTGATGTCATCGTTGTTACCGTTGTCACTGTTGTCACAGTTGTTAATGTTGTAATCGTTGTGACTATTGTCAACGTTGTTACTGTTGTCACAGTTGTCACTGTTGTCACCGTTGTCACTGTTGTCACCATTGTCATTGTTGTCACTGTTGTCACTGTTGTCTCAATTGTGACTGTTGTCACCGTTGTCACTGTTGTCACAGTTGAAACTGTGTTCACTGCTGTCACCGTTCTCACCGTTGTAACTGTTGTCACAGTTGTCACTGCTGTCAACGTTGTCACAGTTTTCACTGTTGACACTGTTGTCACTGGTGTCACCGTTGTCACGGTTGTCACCATTATTACTGTTGTCACCGTTGTCACTGTTGTCACAGTTGTCACTATTTTCACCATTTTCACTGTTCTCTCCATTGTCACTGTTGTCACCAATGTCACTGTGGTCACTGTTGTCACCGTTGTCACTGTTGTCACAGTTGTTAGTGTTTTTACTATTGTCACCGTCTCACCGTTGCCACTCTTGTCAGTGTTGGCACTGTTG